AGACATGTTCAAAGCTTTCAATGTTGCTCAAGAATTCAGATTATATGGCCGAAACGAAGTCCCAATTTACTGTCCCAGTTCCTCATTTTCAGAAAGCGGCTTTTTACACCGAAACTTGAATAAAGAATACTTTTTAGCAAAATTTAAAATTGCAAGCACAACCGACATTACCGGGAATTAACTCTAATAATTTTTTGAAATATATCATCTATACCAGTTATGGAAACTGCCGATAACGGAAACAAAAGTTGGGACTTCCGCAGTTTGACGGTCCCATTTTTAATTCAGCCAATCAAGCCACTGAATTCTAATCGTGGTAAGTGTGACTGTGCTTCACCGAAAAGGAGGATGCGGCTCCCAAACTAAGGCGTAGCCAAAAAGATCCCGTAAAGAAGAAAGGTATAGCCACAAAACTTTAATCAGAATTTTAATCCAAAATCTGCTACTGCAACAACAAGAGGTGTATGCGTCGTACAGGCAGTTATTAGTGTTTCTGCGACAAAGATCTGGTGTTAATTAAAATAAAGCAAAATAGTAGGACAGTAGCGGCAATGAACAACCGTAAAACGCACAAAAAGACATCTCGAAGATCAATTGCCTTAATATCAATGAAACTAAATAATGTCACTGCTGTTTGATCCAACAACATACCCGCCGGTTATTTTGTTGCTGAAGGTCAAGCCCAGCCCGTGTTAACGTTATTCATTAATTACTGTTTATGTGCGTTTCAAAGCCAAGATTTTTGATAAAACAACATAAATTCAGTTTTTTAGCAGTCTTTCCACGTCTGCTAGTTTATTAAGAAGAGCCTTCATTGTATTAATACGGATTACACTAAACACGAGAAAGCTTCTTTGTTCTGATTCCTCGGTGTAATGCATTAAAAGATTACAAATAACACTAAGATAGAGATTTGCCATTTTTGGATGGCTCTGTTGATCTATTGACAAAATAAACGATAGACCATTTCCTAAAGAAGCATTTTTAAGCAAAAAAAAAAA